TCCTGCTCTCGCCATCTTCCAGAACACCCACAACTAGGCTCTGTTTCCCCACCTTTTGGAATGGGGTTGGTTATGCACACCCGTCAGAGGCGGTCCGACAGCACAGACCACCGGCAGCAGAGAGGAATGCAGAACAGGAACACATGCAAATAGGAAGTCCTTTTCCTGTACTGCCTCTCTGTTCAACACGTGCAATACCTGAGGTTTGATAGGAACGGGAAAAAATGTGGATCACTCTACCTTCAAAAAGCTCTGGAGATCATCGGTGCTGTAGACATCGAGGACTTCCATAGCTCCAGAGCTAGCTTTGCTCACTGTTGGAGTCAGGGGGCAGCTGCAGGGGGAAAAAGAAAGAAAAAGCATCATATAAAAGCAAAAAAAAAAAAGGAAATCCAGGAGAATTTTTGTTTCTCTGTTTCCTTCTCTTGCCTCTGCAGCCCAATTCCAACTAGTCCACTAGGTATCTTGCTCACTATGTGGATGTATTTTGCTATAGAGAACAGAAAGGCCCAGAAATTAACCCAGGAAATAGGGTGCAGTTTTATGCACCGATGGACAACTGAAACACAAAGTGGGTTACAACAAAGGGTGCCCAGGGAGGTTCCTTTCCAGCCTGGACCACCACATCCCACAGCCTCCCTGCAGAGTGCAGCACAAAGCAGCAGCTGCCCAAATTCACCTCCAGCTCTATCCTGGAAGGCCCTCTAAAGAAGCTGTCGAGTGATGCAGGCTGGAAAACTCTTTGAGAGCTAGCAGGAAAAGACAGAGAAGAGCTGAAGGAGCAACCAACCAGCCCCATACCTGTTCCTCCGGCTTGTCACCACTCTGTCCACCCCCAAGAAGTATGCGGAGCGCAGCAGTGCCCCCAAGTTCATGGGATCCTGGATCTGCTCCAACACCAGCCAAATAAGCTGCCGGTTTGGGCTCTCTTCATCCTTCAAATCAGGCTTGTCAGCTTCCTCCAAACTCTTGAAACGCAGAGGAGTGGCCTCCAAACAAACTCCTTGGTGGACCTGACCTCCACAAAGAGCATCCAGCTGCTTCCTGTTGACATAGTGCACAGGGACTCCCCGGGCCGTGGCCTGAAGGACAAACTCACTCATAAGAAACCGCCGGGAGCCACTGCTCTGCTTGAGGAACAACCTGAACAGGTCCCTTCTCGACTGAGAGAGGGCCAAGGAACACGGGGAGATCCCAAACAGGATATCGGAGCCTTTAGTCCTCGCAATGACCACAGGCTTTCTCTCCAACCTCTTCCTCGCCTTCCACAAGCCGCCTTCTCTCGAGCTCCACAGCTCCCCGGCTGCAGGGGCAGCCAGCCTGGCCCCTCTGTCTTGGGATCTGTGCCCTGGTCCTGGCTGGCTCTGCGGGGCCAGGCCCTCAGGGGAGGTGCTGGAGGCCCGACAAGCCCTCAGCAGGGCTGGAGGGTGAACCCGACCGCCACTTCCCACAGGGCCCAGCGCTGCCTCAGGCCCACCTTTGGCCGAGCAGTCCCTCAGGCCCCTCCACCACGGGCCGCAGCGAGCGGGTGCCAGCCCCGCGGCCCTCCACACGCGGACCGTGAGCTCCATTGGTGCCCGAAGGCCCTTCCACGTGGGACAGGTACCCACGGGCCCCGGGGCAACACACCGAGACCAGCCCCGCCCGCGGCGGCAGCACCCACACCGCTTCCGGGTGGGCACATGATAGCACCACCGAGACGGGATGAGCCGCCCCTGCGGCAGCGCCGCCTGGCGGTGGGAGGGAGCGGACGGGCGGTCCACACAGCATCCACAGGGAACCGGGGTGTCTGCTCCCGGCCACCGCCTTTCCATTAGCAAGGTCATCCCATTAGCAAGGGCAGCAAAGAGCTGACCCCATTCCCAAAGGTGGTGTGTGCACAGAGAGGCTGTAAAATCCACAATGGGAACTCCAGGTGTGTCCAGCATGCCCTGTGGCTCCTCAGCTCACTCCTAACCTGTAACTCCAAGCCAAAATGCTGCTCTTCTAATTATGTGCTATTTTCTATCCATCTTTCTTTCATAAATTGGTAGACAAGGGGCAGACAAACAGGGAACCAGCTCATTCACAACAATAGGCTTCCAAGAGTTTATCCCACAGGAAAACACACCTGCACGGACCATGGCAGACAAACCACAATGATATGATTGCAGGAGGATTTTGCAGAGAACCTAGTGTTTTTCATTCCTTTTCTATACCATTACTCTGAACCATTAAAGTACACCAGGCCTTAAAAAAACCATGAAATTGCCTTTACAGGGTCGAAGATCTTAAGTAAAATCATGTTTTTCCTGCTGCTTACCAGGGCCAGCTGTGCTCATGGTTCCTTCCCCCCCAGAATGAGAGCTGAGACTACTCACCTCATCCCAATCTGCCAGATAACGTTTGCTGATGGAGCTGCTCATGACTTACTGGCAAAACTGTGGATTTCAGTGACTGTAAACCTGAGCTCAGGAATGTGGCTCTGCACTTGGACATGCTGAAAGGGGATGGGGAGACAAAAATGCCTTCAGTTAACACAACAGTAACCTGTTTTGCTTCAAGGAGAGACTGAAATAGCTCAATATCCAAGTCTGAGTAGCAAGAGCAGTTCATCCCTTGCATAGTTTAATCAAACCTGGTCCATACCAGCAGCCTACCTGAGGATTTCAGTGGCTTCATTGGAACAAGGATGGGAAAATCCAACCTCCACAAGTTATCAGTGAGACAACTGGATGCTGTCGTGCTCTGGAAAGCAACTATGAAGAACCAAACCCACACATTTCTCTCTGAACTCTTCACAAAAGGTTTAGCTGTGAAGAGTAAAAAGGATGTTATAGCACAAGGATGTTATAGCACAAGAATTGCAACATACACAACAGGAGAACCACAGTGTGCCTCTCTTTTTATTCTTTATTTTACAGTTCACAATGAGAAACCTACTGATAAATTACACAGTTCACCCTTCTGTTTGGGGGTGTAAATGCCTTGGAGTTGTGCTGCCAATCCCATCTCATCGAAGGGAGGTGCCACCACATTCACGAGGCAGAGTGACCACACAAACCCCTCCATGGGCCATGCTTCATGTGGGAAGTTAACAGGCAGCAGGGATTATACCCCTAAAACCACGTTTGAAATGGAAAAATATACTGGATATCATTTCAAGGTTACTTTATAGACTTGGAAATGTTACCAATGTTCTTAGGGAAAAGAACAGAACAAGCTTCCAGACAGGCTGCATTTGCAGGGAGCAAGTACCCAGAATGGCCCTTTCTCAAGACCCTGCATCTTAAGCAATTCTCTCCAAAGCCTCTTTTACAGAGCAGAAAGATAAGTCAGGTCCCTCCTCGGCCATGGATTTCAACATCTGCTTAACTCAGCACATAGCTGCAGCCATCAATACACGTTTCATCAGTGCTATCCCACACCCTTGCTCCTTTTCTGCTCAGAAATACGCATCTATATCTATCTATATATATCTCCTAATTTCTCAATCCTTTTTGAACTCCCAGTTCAATCATCTTCTCTTAAAAAGATGGCACACACTGCACAGCACATCTACTGCACTTCAACAAGCTCCTGCAAAAGAGACACTATGGAAAACACCAGTTTTCATATCAAGTTTGGCTGAACATCACAGGGGTGTTACAAAAAGCACAGCAGGGACTGAACCTTCCTTAGCCAAACGCCTCTGAATGGAGGATCACAGTGGCTTGGAGACAGAAGAGCTTTTCCAGCTGGCAAAAGGGATTGCTGGCTGCATGCAGATCTGGGCTGGCTGTTCCTTGCAGGACATGATCTAATCCAATGCCACAGCTGAAACCCAGCTCTGTGCAAAGAACCCAACACAAAACCACCACCTCAGCAAAGTAAAGAAAGACAGTGCATTACAGGCATGCAGGATCTCATGGGGCACGAGTTTCACTCACAGTAAATGAAAAAGCCAACTCCAGAGATGAGGCTACAAGTACTTGCCAGCAGAAACTGGTGACAGAGGAGGAATGAACAGAACACAGCATGAGCATGTATTTATAAAGAGGAAAAAAAGGGGCAAATTGCCTTTGTTTTGGCATTACAAAGTAAATGTTACCAGTTTTCTCCTTGTATCCTACAGTCACTCACCTTTGGCACAAGGAATTCTAAGTATCACAAGATTTCATTAATAATAATACTTCATCTCAACACTCAGCACTTACACAGCGCTTCTCAGATTCAAAGTGCTTTACAAAAGTCTGCGAATCCTCACAACACCCCTGTGAGGTAGGTAAGTATTATTATCCCCATTTTACAGATGGGGAAACTGAGGCAGAGAGGTAAGGTGACTTGCCCAAGGCTATACAGGGAGTTGAAATTCATGTTGTAGCAGCCCAATTTTAGTCTCCCTTATGATGGTGGAACACAGATGAACTCCCACTGGTGTAAGCAAATCCAACCCAAGCTTCTCTGGCTCCCAATCCTCCACTCCAATCAACTGACCATTCCTACTCCACCTAAACCAACCTTTGCCTTCCAAAACACTACAGGAAGTCCAGAGACAGCAGGAGCAAGTCTGCAACCTTAAGGCAACATGTATGTTAACAGCTCCACAGCTCTGCAGCGAGTTGGACTACACACAGATGTGTTTCTGCCACACTCCAAGAATCTTAAGACAACTCCAGTGGTCTCCAGCTCTGCACATATCAGCTTTGAGGCTGATTCTCTTCTCCCTCAAGCTAGAATAAATCCAGAGCAAAACAGTGGGGCTGCACCAGTGTAGAACTAACACAAGATCTGAACCAGACCTTTCACCTGCTGCTTTGCAGGCAAATTTCCTTTTGGACAGCTTCGGCATGGTTCATTTCACTCTCACTCTCTCCAAGTGTGTATCTCTGCATATAAGCAAACTTTCAACATTTCCAGCTCACCAGCATTTAAACATCTTTCTAAGACCCATCAATATTTCCAGAAAAGTGTCAATGCATGCAAATATCACATACAGAAACATCAAGAGTGCTGGGAGATGATACCAAGGATAGAGGTGATCACAAGACAGCACACATTTAGTGTTTATTTAAATTACCAAACAACTCACTCTTACTGTAACTATACCACTTAGATTATCATTCTAACCTGCAGAAGCACAGGTGCTCGTCCTCCAGCTATTTACCTACCTACCTAGAAAGAGAGAGAAATAGCAAGCACACACATTTATACTTCCTCAGACTCAGCAGGCATAATCCATGTGAATGGGAAAGGAGGGCTTGGGGAGGTGGGTGAGATTGTACATTGGGTTTAGGGCAGTGGGGTAAGAAGTAGAAAATATCACATGCATCATTACCATCAGTAATTAATATGATGAAAAAAATAAACCCCAAAATTAGATGGATTCATGTATCACATCTCAAACCCTAAGCACACTGAAGCTGGCAAACACCTTGTGCCACTTCCCCTGTGTCCAGACACATCAGCAAATAACACCAAACAAACCTTATAAAGAAAGCAAAAAGAAGAATAAACCAGCCCGGAGACAACAATCTTCCACAAACCACTTCCCTGCATTATTTGCAAACACATTTTACTCTTAAAACAGTGTCAGAAAGGAGTGGGGCACAAAGAGACCCACTACTGGTTTTTCACACACTGGCTCAGCACCAGCACCAACTCAGAGAGAGGGAGAGAAAAACAATTCTTCAAACACGATCCTTGGTACTTGATTAAAACGTTGCCAGCCAGCTGATGGAACCCTGAATTGCCAGAGGGTTCGAAGTGGAGTGGATACACGGTGCTGCTCACAGTCCTCTTCATCTGCTATGATATCTGTTCTGTGGGCCTCATCTGTATATCTCCAATCTAGAAGAGAACAACATAGGATTTTATTGGAGCATTGACATTTCATTTTATATCCTGCACTGGGAACTTCCATGCTGCAGCATTACAGTGACAAGCTGCACATGAAGAATGTTCCTGTGGCTAGAAATGAGCTTGCTTAACAGAGGTATTTAGGAAGGAATGCAGGTGAATGTGACTGCTCTGCCTTCAGCAGAAGGGATAAAAGCATAAATGTGGGCAGAAAAGGTGCAAGGTGACACTAATTACAAACTCAAGTTTTTAGTTTAGTCCTACTCATAGGTGGCCAAGCAGAAGCACTGCTTGATCAGCCACGGGCTGGACTTTTAATGTTAAGACAAGACAGCCATGTCTTACTGCAAAGGAGCAGAGTTCACGTGAGGGGCTGCTAAACCTCTCCTGATCAAAGTTTGCTTTTGCAACAGGAACTTTTTACATATACTAAACTTTGACACTGCTCCTGCCTCCAGCCCGAAGCTGGTCACTTATTTCTTGTTTCACAGCTGAGAAGCCCTTTTAGCAGCACAAGCATCTCACACTATCCCTCCTGTTCCCATTGCCTTGCACAGTCCTCTTCCAGAGTCAGAGCAGCCTTTGCTGAATCCTCCAGAGTCCTCCAACCCAGACCAGCCTACCTGTACATGAGGTGGGGCACTGAGGACATATATGACAGCATTAGCCATATCTTCAGCTTTGAGACACTGCAAAGACACCAAAGAGATTCTCAGTCAACGGGTGCCTCAGAAAGTGAACCACAACATCACTCCTTTCCTAACATCAATAATGAGTTTCAATACTGTCACTGGGGCATGTCAGAAAGGTGCAAGCAAGCAGGAAAGTAGTAATCCATTGAAAATTTATCAAAGGACATGGCTGGTGCTGATAATTCTCCATCTGCTGTGAATACTCTTATTCTACTGGCACAGTAATTCTGCCAGGTCAGGAATTGCCACTCTTATCGAAAATGCCCAGAGAAGCACAAGAAATCCTGTGCTAGCCACCTGCACAACAGGCTCTCCCATCTCTTCTTGTGCAGGCATGCTTACGTATTGTATCTCCTCATCAATAAAGAACTCACAGCCTGCAAAACATCAGAGCTGACTGGTAGTTATTTATAGTGACATCCAAATAAAAGGAAAAATATAGGGAGTTGAGAACTGAATCCAAATGAAAGTCTAGTGTGTAAATATCAGTGCAAAATCTGAGCTTTGAGTGCTGAGACTCTGGGGATGCTGATAGGAAAGCACTGGGCACTCCGTAAGGAACAAGTTCTGCAAGAGCCAGTTCCTTGTGCTATCAGTCAGGAAACTGCTAAACTATAATCAGAGCCACTTCCCTCTGTTTCCATTTCTCCATGTCCTACCCGAATGCTCTCGTAGGTTGCAGCAGCTCTCTCAGGGTCATTGTCATGAAGTTTAAAAGCAAATCCTGTTTCCACCAGTCCTGGGGAGATACACTGGAAAAAAGCAGAGCATATCCTAATAGGATTTGTCATTCCCCTTCAGTAAAAGAATAAGAAAAAAAAAAAAAAGAAACAGAGAACACTTTTTTAGCACTGAAAAAGCAAAAGCAAACCAAAACCCAGCCCCCTTTCTATTGTTCTTCTTCCCCACCCTCCTTTTACTAGAGGAGTAGTTCCAGTGAACAGGTTTTGCCTCAGTGATTGTTGTGGCAGGTACTTCCCTCTTCGTGCCCCAAAGGGACAGAGAAGCAGAGAAAATGATGGAAAAGCTTGCAATAAAAATTCAGTTCTGGACACATATCACTCTTGAGATGCAAGCTGTGAACAAGAGCAAACAGCCCAGCTGATTGCCTTGAGCTCCCCTTGCCCCCCAACAAGCAACTGCCCATTTTGTGCACCCAAAAAGCTTATTCCTTGACACAGCTCATTGCTGCCCTGCTTTCTCCACCCCATACTCTCTGCCTGTGAAAGAGAGGTGGCCAGCGACAAATAGCCACAAGACTTGAACATTCCCAATTTCACACTTCCTTGTCTGTCTTCCAAAGGGAAAAACCTCTGCCCCATAAAGCCTGACAGCTTTCGATCACCCACAAAAGCAAGAGAGATGAGGAGAGCCCACGGTACTCACTGTAGCTCGTATATGAGTCTTTGCTTCTCTGAGTTCTTGCCTCAGCCCCTCCGTGAGGGCTGTAACTGCGTATTTGGTGGCACTGTAGAAATGCACCACCGACTGTGGCACAACACTGTGGCCATTCATGCTGGGGAGAGAGCAGAAAGGAAAGTGCTGAGAGGTGAGGGCAAACAGAGGACCAAGAAGAAACCAACAGGATATTCAAATCACTGTAGCGAACACAGAAAGAGAGGTTGACACAGCAGATACATGAAGAATTCCCTGCTTCTGCAAGAAATGCACACCACCAGAGGCTCCTCTCCACATGGTTTGCTGGAGCTGGTCGAGAAGTTTCAGTCTTCAGCCTTGCACCATCACAAGTGGTTGGCATTATCCTTTTCCCCTTGGTTTGGTTTTTCTTGCATTTACATCAGCAGAGGTTAAAAACAATGGTTTGAAAAATCAACCATCCCAATCCGTGGAAAATCCATCCTTAGGCACCACCAGTTCACTTCAAGATTAAAGCTCTGCTGCTTAAATCCTCTTTATGAGACAGGAGAAAGCCCATGTGGCTGACCTGACATTCCCCCCCTTGCATACCTGTTAATGTTAATAATATGCCCATCATCAATGTTTCTCTCTTTCATGGACTGGTAGGCCTCTCGGGTGCAGATGCTTACAGCCATCACATTGACCTGAGAGATGAGAAAAGAAGAAGAAACTAAGGCTAGCAGCCCTGCCTGGCACCCTTTGACTTCCCCACACATGTATGAAGCCAAGAATGCAAGTTCCAGTCCCCAAACCCACCACAATTCCCACAAACAGAGGGAAACGCACACCCATTTCACTGCCACCAAGCTGGGGCTCAGTCACAAGGTGTTTGGGCCACAGATACCCAGTCTGTGAGACAGCCATGGCTTGGTTAAACTCAGCCATATCACCTCTGCAATGTGGCACCTTTAATGCACAGATGCCTTGGGCATTCACTGACCATAAAACAGAGTCAAAGGTTCCAGGAAGACGGAGATATAGAAGCTCCCCCAGCTGGAATACAAAGCAGCCAGAGGCATGTGCAAGACTGATGAGCAAGTCATCTCAGCAGCAGAAATTGCTCAAGTTTATAGTGGTTTAGATTTGCAGAAGTGGCTGAAAGGTAGAAAATGTTTCCTGACACTCCCTAGAAAGGATGCAGCCATTTCAAAGCAGGTCCTACCTAATGGCACATCACTTTGCCAACTAAATGAGCAGGCCAGGCACGACTAAAAACACCACTTGAACTGAATACCCAGGAAGAGCTAGATTTCTGATGAATCACAAGTCAGGTGCAACTATAAACGGGAGGAGCAGCAGGAACAAGGCCATGTGGCAGTGAGCAAAAGATGTGTGAGAGGGCTGGATATCATCACTGTGAATCTTATAAACAAGAGTAGGGCAGGCTAACCAGGACTTGCTAGCACAAAAGGACATCCACCTTAGTTTGGAGACCAGAAGCTAAGAGGCAAAAAGGGATGGATTTGAGATGTAATTAGTGAGCAGCACACAAAAGACCAACAGGGCCAGCTGAAGGATCTTCTAGTCACTGCTTCTGCCTCAAACGTTATTTCCTATTGATTACTAGAGGCCCTGCTTGTGAGCTTTTGTCTTGGCAGCAGATAATGCATGCTTATCTGATCCTGGGAGCACCCAGGCAACAAGCAGAGTCATCATCCTCATCCAAGTGCACTTTGGTTAAGCACACAGTCACTGCCGGGTATCTCAGTCATCATACCTAGAACTACAGATAAATTCCCTGGCATTAGGTTGAAGATTTACCTTGACTGTGCAAGAAAGAGTTAGCAGACATGTCACCTCAGCACTGGAGCGAAGCCCAGCGCAGGAGGGCATCTGAAGGCTTTTGGATATCACAGTAAGGTGGTCAAGGAAAGCAGGAATAACCTGCTCCAGTCTGATACACTAACCAAGTGAGAAGCCAGTCCTTCCAGATACGGATCTGGGCAATTGTCAGTATAAAAAGCCTCCATGACAAGCAATATGCCTGCTTTCCTCCCTGCCCCAAGATAATCGAACCTACCAGGCACTGAGTCTTTTGTGCAGTCACTTCCCAATTTCACTTCATCTCCAGAGGCCACTAGAGGGTAACATCATCCTAAAGCCTGAGACCCGGCTCCAAAGCTGTGCTGAGCAATGCTTCCTTGTGTGGGAAGAGTTACAACATTGTGACAACTCCTGGCAAAGCAAGATACTAATAACAGCCACATGGGAAAGTCCAGAGCCTGTATGATAAGACACCTGGGACAACAAAACAAGCGGCTAAAAGCAGCTGAGCTGGGAATGCCTCACGGCCTTTTCCTGATAGCACCCACTGGATTTTTAGGTGAAATCCTATTTCAAAATGTGGCACAGGCACTCAGGAACCTAACAAAAACATGCCTGGAATAATAAGCAAGCCTTAGGGCTGTATCACTTTGAGAAACAATCTACAGGCTGTTGTCACAAATACCCGCACAAGATGGTTTTCAGCCTTGTTCCTATTTTAAGAACAAAAGGTTCAAAAGTCCCTCAGCAAAGATGGCCAACATATCTGCGCTCTGCCTCTGCACACATCCATGCTCTGCCCCTGCACAGCACACTGCAGGTCTGTGACCACCACGTGTGTGTGCTAATGCAACAGAAACAACAGCAGCACAGTTTCTAGTCTTTCATGAGTTCCAATTGCCAGGCTGGGAGAATATAAAAGACCGTGTTCCTGGAAGGGCTGAGCACTTCCCAGAATCAGCCTTTTCTATAAAGCTTCAAAATGAGTACTGTAGCTCCTAACAGAAAAGCACAGGTTACAGAAAACTTATATACCATCTGTGCTGAGATACAATCAAGAACAACAGAGCCTTGCTGCTCAATGAATAATGCCAAGAAGAATCAACCCCATTTAATATTTAGAGCAGCAAGAGGATGTGTGCTACAGCCCTTTGTGCTCTGAGCAGTGCAAATGGAAAGTTCAGCTCAAATGCCTGGCTGTAAAGGTCAGTAGGTAAAATGTGAAGGAGGTGTTCAAAACCCAGTGCCTGGAATCAGTATGTACACAGCACCTGGCCCCAGCGACTCCTGCACAGGTCGGGAACGGCTGGAGGACTTTGGTCCAGACTCATGTCAAGCACAACCTCACAACCAAGAAGAGACAGAAGGGGGAAAGCTATGAGCCAAAGGATGGGCTCAGAACCTGCCTGAGGTAACACAAAACACACACCAAATTTGCTGGTTGGCAGCACTGGGCTCTGTGCTTCTGTAAAGCAATAGAGACTAATCCAAGACTCTCAGATTCCTAATCCAAGACTCCTGCAGTTCAGGGAGAAACAGCTCCCCCCTTGAGAATAAGTACCAGACAATAAGGAATGGACCATTAAAACAAAGGAGGAATATGTAAATAACAACATGATTTCGACTGTTAGAAGTATAGCAAGAAATTTTATGGAATATTGAAGAGGGGAGCCTGGAAGGAGCCTCAAAGCTCATAAAAAATGAATGGAAGCAAAAATCAATTTAGCAAAAAGAAAAATATGCCTTTAATTTAAGGCCCTAATGCCTCCTAAATCGGTAGATCAATGGCTGTTTAGAAACTTCTCCTGTCTTGCAGCCAGAAGCACAGTGAAACTCTAACAGCACCTCAGACCATGCTGTTCTCTAACACCCTTCTCCAAGGGACCTTTGGAAGAAGCCTCTCTGCTCCCGCTCAGCTCTGCAAAGCCTAGTGATCCATGGAAGGTGCTGGCAACCTTCCCCCTTCCTGACCCTCTGAGAGCTTCAGAGCATGTAGGAGAAATGGTTGAGTGTTTCCTGGGGCTGGTGTGCCACAGCGGGGAGAGCTGTCACTGCAGATCTCTCCCCAGTCCCCACTGCCACAGCATGAGAGAGACTGCCACACAGGGAGGCTGCAGCCACAAAACAGGGGCACACAGCAGAAGGAAAAACCCTTTTCTACCTCTTATCAGCAGGATAAAAAGCAAAGCCCAGGCTTGTCAGGCTGCTTAGCCTGAGTTGGGTGAAGTGTTTGGCTCTGCAGTTTCCCAAGGCTTCACCTTTGCATTAAAGGTGTGAGTGTAATTCAGTTACACACAAGTCAAGAGCAGCTGCTGGGAAGCTAGTGAGAGGAAAAAATCTGCCAGTGAAATAGGAAAATTTGGGTGTCTTAGTCCGTTCTCTGTGCTACAACAGCATTTTTGCCAAGCAAAGAGAGCAGATATAGCTGTACCGATCACCTCTGGGAATAAAACATGCCCCCAGGCTGGTTTTCTAATGCTGCCCTTGCAAAGCCATCACCCTTCCTCTCCTCCCATCCCATCCACCACCCCAAAGCAGCTCCAAAGGGTGCACACAGCAGCACCCACAACAAGGGGGACACCACAGGCTTTCGGCTGCTGTAAATACCAATGCTGGAGTGCCTCATACAGGACAATCCTTATTCCAAAGTATTTCTCCCTAAAAAGTGGTGGAAGGTGGGATAAAGGAAGCACTCCCACCTGAGCAGCCAGGGAAGGGAGCACAGAGAGGGGAAGGGCCTTCAGCTGGCAAAAGCCATGTGTTTCCCCACTGCCTGCCCACCTTATAGAGAACAAAAGGTCAGAAGAACAAAGACAAATCAGTGCAAGGGGCTTGCAGCATCCACAGAGGCCTCCACACAAGATGCAATCACATTGATCAGGACAAGGGGTTTACAAGGCACAGGCGACCCACAGGGCCAGGCGGGCAGCCAGACAGCACTAGGGAACGTCCTGCTTTACACCAGCTCAGCCTCAGCTACACTTCATTTTCTTTAAAGACTCCATGGCAACCGGGACAGGGAGATGTGGCTGTGCAGTGACCCAGGCTGGGCAGCCCACAAAAGCCTGCCTGGGCAGACAAAGCTGAGCTGATCTTGCTTTGGCTGCAGTCACAGCAACCAGCAGACTGGCCAAAACCCTAACAAGAGCTTAATTAGTCAGGATACAGCAGCTCTTGCCCTGGCAGCAGGAGTTGGAGGCCTCAACAGGCTTCTCTTGCTTTATACAGCCCCTGAAACTACTCCTGGTGAATAGCCACTGGCTGCTGCAGGAGCCAACAGACCCCTGCTGACTCCACTGTCAGACATAGCAGACCTGAGCCTCTAGCTTTGAGCAGCTTTTCTAATAGACATGTCTTTTCCTTTACTAGGACAAGCTCTTCTAGCTGCTGGAGGGGCTACAAGGCTTACTCAAGGTTTATTCAAGGCCATGTTTCAGCATCTCACTGGCCAAAGCTGCAGGGTGGCCAAGAAAGTAGAGCTGTTACAAGGGCATGCAAACTGGCCTGGGGTCCCACAGCTGCAGCTGCCACTGCTACATGCAGAAAGAGCCATCACATAATGACAAAAGATGGTGAAATCCCCCAAAGACGCAGAGCAGCACCTGAGGGCAGCAAGACCCAGGGAGAAGTGCTGCTGATACATGGCAAACTCCCAGATGAGCACAGGAAATTACCTCATTCACATCCAGCTCTAACCAGATTATGGGCAGAAAATTAAGCTATGAAGACAAAAAGCATTACAGCTTTTTAAGCCAAAAAGAATCTGCCCATTTTACAACCCACTGCTACAACTAACAGGATTAACTACAAAAGCCAGTGCTTGGCATTCAACTCCCGATTTTACTGAAGCAAAAGTGTGAGGCTCATCACCCTTTAGAAAGCCACTGAGTTACAGGGAAAAAGTGCTACTGAAGGTATTGTTTTCATACTCCAAAGTGAAGGCATGTGCCTCAGCAGTGCATGATGTCTTTCTACTTCCCAATCAGCAAACCCAGGCCACATCAGAGCCAGATGGGAAGCAGGTCCTCAGCTTTATATGCATGCAATAAATAGATGGAGACAATGATGCTGGTGGCCAGAAGAAATCAGAATCTAGCACAGTTCCCACTCTGTGTGGCACTACTCACATCTATCATTGTTCGCCAGCCCTCCGTCTTCCCCGAGAGCAGGGGCTCTGGGCGAGCCAGCCCTGCGTTGTTGATGCACACATCAACTCCTTGGTGAAGGGTCTTGATGGCAGAGAACATTGACAGGATCTCCTCTTCGTTGGAGAGATCACACTTGTATGGGATGAGGGTTCCAGGGTAGCCAGCACTCTGGCATTCAGCTGCTAGTTTCTAGGGAAGAGAAAGGGAGGAAGAAAACAGCCATCAGCAGTGTATAAACACGCACATTTGCTTATAAACACACCCTGGGGCTAACAAAAAACAGCAGGCTTCTGGTGAGCCTGTCTTAAAAGCAGGGACTAGGGAAGTCATTGGAAATGCTAAGAAAAAAGAAATATCCATATTCATGAGAGTCTGAGCACTTCAGCATTGAAGTTATTAAACTTGAGGACACATTCTGTGCTCATCCATCACCCCAGGCAATACAGGTTGAGGTAAGGAGGTGTTAGCAAAATACAAATAAATACTGCAATGGCATCGGGCTGCCACACTGTTCCGTGGATAAAAGATGTGTCAATAACATTCCTGACAATGTTACCAACAATTATTCCAAGCATCCACACCTTTTATCAGAGTAGGTGATATAAAGCAAATGAAAGGCCAAGAGCTGTGTTAATGATGTGGCAGCCACCCCGCCAAATCCTCTGGAGGATGCCCTTTACCCTTTGATGTTAATGAGAAGCAGCATCTCATCTCCGATGTGTGGTATTAGCAACAGTGACAGCTTCCAGCGTGGGGAGAGCCACATGATGTCTGGTTTCTGTGCAGACAGACCCAGGCTACAAGCGTCCACCAAATCACTCGCACACCATCGCCCGCAGCGGCCTCACCAACGTCACATCTCAGCGGGTGCAGTGAAGCTTTCCCTGGCCAGAGGCAGCTTTCCCACTCCTCCCCACATACCAAGGACTGCAGTTCCCAGCTGTTTATGAAAGGAGTGAGGCAGAGGGCACAGGACAGACTGTACACAAAGGCAGCTATTGAAGCAGTGTCTGTCCTGAAGCTCACGCAGCCTTGGGTGAAACAAGGATGCAGGGAGGCCAGGACACCAGCCACAGCCCCCGGGGAACATCCAGAACATCCCTAGGAAGCTCACATGAGAGGGATGCTGATGTTCTTTTTGCTTGCTATGAGGTGCAGCATCATCTCCCAGATCATAACACGTGCTCATCATCAGTGGCTTTTTAGGTGACTAACCTTCTCTTAGCCAAGTTTTACACAGGGCAGGGCTGAGCATCCTCACTGGGGGAGGAACAGACAAGCCAGGACCTAAAAACCCTTCTCTGCACACCAACCACATTCATCTTACTACGGGGCAAGTGGCTCTGTTTGGTAAATAATTTCTAACCTTTCTCAATACCTGAGACTTCAGAGATGGCCCAAGTCCCTTAATAGCGAGTTTAAACTTTTCTGCTTTGCCTTGCACAGCTCTCACAGATCACAAGCCAAAACCAGCCCAGGTCTAAGGGTCTGGTCAAGAAGCTGTTCTCCTGTCTGGAAACTGCTTCAGTGGGGGCAGCGCAGTAACACAGGAATTATTAACTGCTCTCACAGCACCAAGCGGAAAAGGGATGGACACACAGAGTCCAGCCCTGGGATCGATACCTCCCAACAGCATCACACTCTCTGGAGAGCTCTGCCTGGGCTGAGCTAGGCAATATTGCTGCTTGACAGAGAACAAAGGTGCTTCTGGGGCTGAATCGTACCTCTCTGTACCTCCTGGAGCTGGTTCCACTTTGCTATACATGCAATCTTGTTGATTATGTGCTGGTAATAGAAATATATGTATTTTTTAAAGATCAGAGTACCCACTTGAGAAAACAGTTGGAAGAAAATCTGCAAGAGCAGCATTTAGAAAATGAAAAGCAGTATGAAGGTGCTAAGCTGCTCCAAGGACAGGACTTGCTCCTGCAAAGACAGTGGAAGGCAATATGGACAAAGGGCTATCAGTCACATTCTTCATGATGTAGCACCAAGGTGACAGCTTCAGATCTCTCTCCATTCCACTGCCCAAACTCAACCACTCTACTACAGGATCCATTGCACTCAGTATTTGCTCATGGAGTACCACAGCTCACATCTGGTACTCTTTTCTCCTAGTTCACCAGGTGATGGCTGGAAGTATGACCTTGATTTGCTCTTGGAAGAGGACTCTGTACCCTCCTGAAACACCAAGTATCTCTCAAGCTCCTTCTTGTCCTGTCTGGTGTCTCCCAGCCTCAAATGAGACTCAACACAGATCCTTTCATCTCTCAGGCTGCACTTTATTAACAAATTCTCTTTGAAAATGAAGTGCCAAACACCACTGACATGCAGGCAGAGCTGAACATGCTTCCATCAGCTATAGATAAAGAGTCATCACAGGTTCTTCAAAGAAACATCAGCTGCAGGCAAGTTTGCAAGAGAAGACACATGTAAAGCAACTCTCTGAATTAGGGAGCTTGCAATATTCTTTCAGAGCACCCATTAAATCACTCAAAGCTCCTTCCCACTTTAAGCACACCACATGCACAAGGAGGGGAAGGAAAAAAAGCGGGTTTTCCAGATGTGATAAGCAACTTGAGTGACCACATAACACAACACCAATACAGATGAGGGCCAGTGCACCTCCTGTAACTAGAGATGAAGATTTGAAACAAGACCTGAGCACCTCTATACCAAACTGTTGTCACTGGATGCCTGGAAATGGACAGCCAGGAGCTAGAGCTACTGGTACAAACTGGGATAATGCAATATAAAAAAGAAACAGATACCCTGTATGTTAAAACATTTACCTAGAGCCATCCCCTGCCATGGATGGAAGCCCTCACCCTGCAGTTCTGATATACCCAGCATGAGCACAGTACCCAGCAAGTCAGTTCTCCCAAGAAGGGGTTAATGCTCTTCATGCATATGATGCTTGGAAAGGGCACAGTGCCATGCATTTAGATTCAGTCTTGGTTAAACGGTTTAAGAGAACTAATTGATATAAAAATTTAAAGGGACTCTTGAGGGGAGTGGAAAAAAAGAAGAGAGAGTCATGTAGAGCTTTATTTGGGAAATGATCCCATTAACTTCAGACACATTTAGTTCAGAGAGATTAAAGCAGAAGAAGCCATTAGGTAATTTTTAATCTAACCTGCCATTCATCACAGGTGTTTGCATCCTACTGATTTAGCTTATGCTTAAATACACAGCTGGCCCAAGAAACCAACTGGAAAGAAACCAAAGTCACCCCAATTACTTTTGCTGTCTAAAGGAAATGGAAGAGAAAAAGCATAATGAGCAGCATCACAGTTGTTAAAGAAAACTGGGGGCTTCGAAATCCTTTCATTGTACTGATTGGCAAGTTTGAAGCTTCTTTTAATTAAGATTTAATACCAGTGCAACAGCATAAGAGAAGAAGAGATATATAGTGAATAAAGCGCTAGACTGGGGTCTCTGTAACTGTGGGCAAGATTCAGAGCTGATTCCCCATCTGTAAAGGGGGATAATCACACTGAACCTCTGCCTAGAGCTGCTGGGTACCCAGGCCTTTTTGCCTGCAGCTGATCCAAGGATCAGTGTTGTTTCACATTTCTTCCAGGTGCTTTTGCCTGGATCCAGGTGCCCAGAGAGGGACTCTGTGGGAGTCTAAAGGGAGTTTTCAAATGAATAAAACAGTAAAGTGATTCTCTTTCCCTCTCCTGAGCTTTAAATTGATACTTCTCTATGATTGTTTGCTGATCCCCACTCCTCAGCTCAGATCTGTGCCTGCTCCAGGACAGAATGCAGAATGGTGGGGATGGGAAAGCACGGAAAATCAGGTTTAAATGGAAAAGCAAATACGCAGTACTCAGCTGGGGCACCAATGCCAAAACCTAGCACAGATGAAAAAAACTAGCACCAGTTTCAGACTGTTTACCTGAAGTACATCTCAAATACAGGGTGCTCAGTAAGCGAGACAACTTCTCAGACTGCTCCAGAAATCCGCCACCTCTTGGCACAGGCAAAGGTGAAAGAATGACCAAAACATCCAATGCCCTTGCCAGACTCCCTGCTAAACAGGGATGTCACGAGTGCTCAGCCATATCAAACATCCAAGATGATTTTTATCTAGCTCATTCAGTTTTACATTTCCAGTGTCATACACAAGCCAAATCACCCCATTTACACTGCCCTGAACATTCCTGCTACCTTAAGACATTCAAACAATCACTCCTTACGTCAAGGCTGAAGGCACTTGTTTTTTTTGCTCAGATCACATTGCTCCAGGCTGGCATGGGGGCGGAGGAAACACAGCTCCTACGATGACAGCTCATTAGAGCAATCTCTCTTGCTTATTCTGAGGTATGACTATCCAAAACAAGCACCATAGGTGCTTGCCTGCTCTTCAACTTCAACATGCATAAAGCAGATTCCCACACAGCCAGGCATGTAGATGCTTTCCTTCCTCATAAAACCCTTATACTCTTACTAATGAAGCTGCTCTGTAGCAGCCACCCATGGTCCTCCAGCCCTGGGCTGCCTTCACAAGCAGGGTTCAAAGACCGAATGGCTCAACACACCCAAATGCCTACAGACAGCAGACCTGAAGCATCGCAGGCTGGATGACTGCCTGCTCAAGCAACTGATTTCCAAGGCAACCTGCAAACACAGCTCTCAGAGGGCAGAGCTGAGCCTGAGCTTCAGCCTGACACCCTCAGATCATTGAATCATGGAAAGCTTTGGGTTGGAAGGGTCCTTAAATTTCATCCAGTTCCAACCCCCCTGCCATGGGCAGGGACACCTTCCACTAGAGCTGGCTGCTCTAAGCCCCATCCAACCTGGCCTTGAATATTGCCAGGCATGGGGCAGCCACAGCTTCTCTGGGCACCCTGTGCCAGCGCCTCAGCACCCTCACAGGGAAGAGCTTCTGCCTAAGAGCTCATCTCAACTTCTCCTCTGGCAGGTTAAAGCTATTACCCCTTGTCCTGCCCCTACATACCCTTGCAGCACCCTGGCCCCTTCCAACCCAAGCCTTTCTGTGACTCTGTAATATTGTCAGCCAGGAAATAACCATTAACACTTCCCACATGGACACTGGCAGAAGTGAGGGTTAAAGCTCGACTTTAGCAGAGACACTACTTTCTGCAGAGCTTGAACTATTAACAAGCTCCAGGAAAACCACCATCATACTTACCCCCCACCACTGCCGGCTGCATCTGGACCTC